TTTTATAGAGAAATGGGGTTATGTTGAATAAGGAATGCTGATGCGTTTTGTTATTCTTTTTTAATCTGAGGAGGGAACGCAAGGAGGGGAATGAGAGGGAGAGGTTTAGGCATAGGCAGAAGGAAAACGTGACAGACAGATAGATAGGGAGACAGGCAGGAAGACAGGCAGGCAGGCCGGCAGGCAGACGGACAGGCAGAGAGACAGACAGACAGATAGATCGACAGACATAGACGGATAAACAGACAGATAGCCAAAAAATAGAAATATTAACATACCAAAACCCAAACAAACAAAAGATGTAAAATTCACTCCAAAACAGTTCAAAACAGACAAACAAACCGAAAAAATATCTAATAAAGGAAATAAATCAATAAAAGAATAACTAACCCATTTCTCCCTCACGTTCTCCACCAGAAACGAATCGCGGGAGTTCCTGGACGACCTGTGGCTGCTCTACTCCAACATCAACAGGACGACCATGGAGCTAAGATACCAGCAGTCGCTCACCTTCATCTTCAACAAAGTCATGGACACTTTGGAGAACGTGTAGGCCTATTCAGGATTTGGGATTTTGTTCTTGGATTTTAGGTCTAAGTGCGTATGTGCGTGTGTGTGTGTGTGTTTGCGTGTGTGTGAGTGTGTGTTTGTGTGAGTTGTGTATATATATGTATGCTTTATGTATACGTGTGAGTAACAGGCCCATCGAAGTTCTCACAATAAAGTCATTAGTTGGAGAGATCCTGCCAGACGACCCAACGCATACCCTGTGGTAAAAAGCATCAAGAGAAACTCCAAAGCACAGTGTAGAGTCCAAGTTTTACTGCCATAAGGAAAACAGTGATGAAAGGGCCTAAAACGCATACGGCTTGGTTCCTCTGCACAGACACCAGCATCTCCAGGTAGCCATTTCGAGCAAGTTCACAGCTCCCCTGCAAACATATTTATCCGCTTGTTGACTTCCTAGTTTGACGGCATAGTCATGAGCTCGATGTCTTCATCAAAAGTACGTATGAAGCAATATCTCCAAGTAGAATCCAATAGTCCTTATTGTCAAATGCACCAAGAGCCGCCATTAGGGTCGGCCGTGGAAGCAAGTTTAGCATGAATTTTTTTTTACACGGAGTTCATTTACATCAGTAGGAACATTTATAGCATCAAGAGACACGAGGCCAGACAAATACCTGTGTTAATACCATTATAGCGTATCAGCTGAAACTACCTCTTCTACCTAGGGCTAAAGTCAATTGGTGATAGCTATGGCTACCTCCTGGAAGTGATGGCTATCGCTATGACCCGATTAGTAGTAGGTGGTGAGTGACAGAGAGAAAGAAAAAAAGGGCAGGAGAAAGAGAGAGAAAGAGAAATAGGAAGAGAAATAAAAGAAAAGTGGGCGGCAGGCGACTTGGGCTTGTATCCAAATGTGGAGTTCCCGGAGGTACGAATCGTGCTGGATCGACGCTCGTCCGGTGCATTCCCTCCGGACGGACCCCGCAACCGACTTTACTTCCGGGTGGAAATGAAGGCTAACATCCCCCCAGTTTCCTCATATATTTAATTTACTGAAAGTAGGTGACTATCAGCCTCCGGGCTAGTATAGTAGTAGCGTGGCGGCCTCTCCTCCAAGGGGTCGGCGGTTCGTGGCCCGGCCAGGCGCAAGAAGTTGCACTTGTCGCCTGAAGGTTACCGCTGTAGCTGGGCACCACTGTGGGTAAGGAGTAAGTTCTATCGTGTCAGCACTAGCTGACACGTTTGATTCGAGTATAGGCCGACGAGGCCAACTATATCAGACTTATATTTTATGCTAGGGTGTAAACAAGGACTGCCTTATTGATACATATACTGTGTGTGGTGGTGTAATATATATATATAGTATAGTACTTCGACTATAAGGTATATATTAAATAATATAATATATTATATATAATATAGTATATATACATATATATACGCATATATATAACATATAGTATAACACAAGCAATCATGACACATGCATCACAAGTGGAGTAGAGTTTGTTTTTGGTAGGTACCAGCGGTGATTTATATCCGAGTCCTAGTATCACCTAACGGCTTGTGAGATTTCTAGTGATATAAAGTGTGTCATCTATAATAATTGAGTATACTATGAATTATCGTATCGTAAGAAACGTGTCAGCGCGTTCGCTTGACACGATATATGAACTGTACCTCCTTACTCACGTTTGGTGCCTCAGCTAACAGCGGTTATACCTCAGTCAGAACAGTGATACACTAATCTTGCGCCTGCCGAGGGCACGTAATCACGCCGTCTCCTACTATATATTTGGATATATGAAAGGCCGCCACGCGTACTATACACTATATTACATCAGTACCCGGAGGCTGAATAGTCACCTACTTTACGTAAATATTATAAATTATATGGCGAAACCTGGGGCACAGTTGTTAAGACCTCATATCATCTAGTACTGAGAATCAGAGTCGGTTGACAGGAGGGTTCTACGGACCGTAGGGAATGTACTAGGAACGAAGCGCAGATACTACATAGTACACTGACGTCGATATATCTGTCTCGAGAGTGTGAATTACCACTTATATTGGATTAACAGCCCAAGTCTAGGTCATAGTACTCGCACTACACTATTCGTTTTATTCATAATATAGTATAGTATAGTAATATATATATAATATATATGTAATATTTATATTTTGTGTTGTGTGTATACATGTACATCTTCTCTTCCGTCACAGCATTCAGGAACCTTCGACAGAGGCTGGAGGGCGGGGCGCTCAGCGGTCAGGTCAAAACTCTAGTCGAGAAGATACGAACATCCTATGAACATTCTCTTTGATGTCGGTTGTATTTCATCGCCTTCTCACAAAAACAAACAAACAAACAATCCATAAAAGCAGATTAGTTTTGATTTTTTTTATCTACCAAAATAAAGGATAAGATGGTGATCGAATATCCCAATTATCTAGATTTATATGAATTCATTGACTTATCCATTTCATTGTTTTTTAAAGTAAAGATTTTGTATTCGTCTATATGCTTATTATTATCATTATCATTATTATTATTATTATCTTTATTATTATCATTATTACTATTACTATTATTGTCATCATCATTATTATCATCATTGTTATGATTATTCATCACTGTTGGTATCATTATTTTCGTTATTATTATGATTTTGCTTTCATATCTACATAATTTTCTCCTCTTCTTCTTTTATTATCTCTCCATTATTTTGTTATTATTATTTACTTTCATATCTACATCATTTTTCCCTTAGTCATTTATTTTTATTTATTCTTATTTCGGTTTATTTTTCGCTGCTTATCATTTCTGACTTTTCATCGTGCTAGCAGTCATATGTTTCCCTTTTTCATTTATTCTTATTATTCGTTCTTTTGTTCGTTATTTTTCCTCCTTATTCATTTTAGCTTTCATCTCTACATCATTTTTCCTTGTTTTCATTCAAATTTCTTTATTCTTTTCGTTATTTTGTTATTATATTTGACTCTCATATCTGATACAATCATCTTTTCCCCGTTATCATTCTGATTGTTCTTTGAATCACTCTTTTGTGTGATTGTTGTTTTCGCTTCTTATCCTATTTATTTAAACAATACTTTCATAGTTCTAGCAATGATTTTTTTTTTTTTCTCCCCTTTTCATGTTTATTTCTTTTCTTCTTTCAGTCACTGTTATTTGTTTCGCTCATCAATTTTTATCTTTCATATGTCTAGCTATGCATTTTCTTCTCCATCTTGTTCATTCTTTTATTTTATCTTCTCCATTGAATTTTTATTCTGATTATTTGGCACCTCTCATGATTCTAACATCGATTTTTCCCTTTATCATTTGCTATTTGTTTTATTCTCTTTATCGGGTCTATTGTTTCCTCTTGATCATTTTACTTCATATCTACGCATCATTTTTTCCTCAGTTTTCAATTTCACTATTGTCTTTGATCTCTTGTCGTTAATTTTGTGTTCCGGTCGGGCCAGGAGAGGCGGGCAGGCGTGGGTGGGGAGGGGGGGGGGGGGGGGGGGGGGGGGGGGGGGGCGGGGGGTGGGGGGGGGGGGGGCAGGGCACGCTGGCGGGGGCGGTGGGGGGAGGGGGGAGGGGAGCGGGGGCGCGCGGGGCGCAACAGGGAGGTGCGGTGGAGGAGAGAAATGGTGAGGCGGGAACGGGGCGTATGCGCGACAGAGCGAAGAGAAAGGGGAGAAGAAGTTGATTGTGGCCGAGAGAAGGCAGAGAATGGAGGGGTATTAAACAATTTTGAAAACCATGACGGAATCGACAACAGAAACCTACATGCCGTTTCCAACATAATATTTAAACCCATTTGCTTCCATATTTTGAAAGTGTCGAAATAGAATAACAACGGCTCTATTTTCGGGCAAGAATTTTTACTAATCTCATTCTCTTACATTATTTATCCGTTGCTAACAATGCAATTTTTATCAACATTGCTTTGCTAGTTTTGCCATATTAAGTCTAAAATATACTACATTTGAATAAATTGATTTTATTCTCACTATCATTTTACGAAACTAATATCAAATAAATCTCTTTAGCATAAACATTAACGTTGATAAACTACTCTATACGAACAATTATATATGTATGTCAATCATTTCTATTGACTCCTGGATATTTATTTCTAGATCTCTTTTCTACTATTCTACAATCTACAACCAGTTATTATCACCTTAATCATAATTGAGATTCGTAGAAAAAAGAATACATATCGCCATTTTTCTGCCTTATCTGATAGCGAGTAATTTTGTAAATTAATCTAAGTACAATACCGAAACACGAAGTCTTAATTTTTGCTCTAGTATTCTCTCTTTTTCATATTTTAAAATCACTGACTAATTTTAAAATCATATTCATTTTCCCTTTCTCTTCCTCCCCATCTTTCTTTTTCATTATCATTTTGTGTTCGGATCTGTTCAATTATCTACCATTTTCATTTCCTTTCCCTTTTTTCTTTTGCCTCATGTCATTTTTTCTTACTCCTTCATTTATCGTATGCTTTTGTAATTCGTAGGGCGACCAACCAGAAAGAGCGATCGTGCAAACCTCCACAGCTAGATGGAGATCGAACTATACACGGAGCCTGGATTGATGATCCAATGATATAATGAAAAGTCACTTAAGTTCATCATTTGCGGGCCGCAAATGTAGCGACAGGGTAAGGAGGGTTGATGTAAATTATAGGGACGTTTTTCTTTATATTCTAATCCTCTTCGCTTTCTGGCCCGATATTACGAGTCTAAAAAGTCGCTTAGTGGATTTTGATATAGGATTCGTTTTTTTGAATCATGTTCGCGGATTTTTTTCCATTTATTGCGATGTAAGATGTAGGAAATTCTGTTTCTGGGGGCGTGTTCACTGGTGTGAGTGTACGGGTCGGAACGTGGGGATATTTCAGGGGGGTCGGAGAGCTTTCGGGATTGTTAGTTGTGAGGTGCCGTGTGGGTGTGGGTGTGGTGAAGCTTTCTTGAATCTGGTAGTTGGAGCGGTTGCTGCGGTTGGTATTGGTTGGGATGGTCTGTGGTGGTCAATGGTTTGGAGGGTTTGGAGAACGTCGGACTGGGTTGTCAGGTGGCAGAGCTAAAGATGGAGATTGTCGGCTGGAATTGAGGTTGCAAAGAGATGGGGAGGGATGGTGCGAGTGTTGAAAGGTGAGTTGACGGAAAAGAGAGGGTCGAAGAGGGAGGGGAAGACGCACGGAGTGGATGGAGGGAGGAGGACTCAGATCAGCAGAGTGGAGTGTGAGGAGGAAGGTAGGAAAAAGACGACCCGGGTGGGGAAATAAGGGGGAAAAAGAACAAACAAAAACCAAAGTGTGTGGACGCCGCAAGCGCATTCCTGGCCAAACCCTTAAGGGTCCTAGAGGGTGAGGAAGGTTTAACACTGCAAGGGGGAGAGACTGAGAGAGGGGAACAGCATGATAAGAAATCGGGGCAGTAACATCCTTAAAGGAAGCAATACAAGGGGGCGGGGGCCAGACGTGATGAGGAGAGAAGGAGGAGTGGAGCGGAACGACCCAAAAAGGCACAAGTGTCCAACGAGGGAGTCTAGCGACCGAAACCATGCAACACCGCGACTAAGAGGGAAGGGGAGGGTAAGTAAGGAGAAAAGTGTGAGTTGAGGGGAAATTGGAAAATACTTAAGCGATGATAAAAGCAAAGAGTATCCATCCCTGTCCCATTCTACTAGCTAGTATGACTCTTAATCTCTGGAAGTCCGGAATCTTTGTGATTCGTTGTCAGTCCTGGACCTGTAGGAAATTCATGAATAAGCAGCTGAGACGAGAGAGAAGACGAGAGAGCCAGAACAGAGAAGAAGAGACGAGACGAGAAGAAGAGCAGGAGCAAAAAGAGAGGAGAGAGACCGAGCAGAGAGAGAGAGAGAGAGAGAGAAGGAAAGATAGAGCTGAAGAGAGAAGCAACTCGAGAGAGAGAAGCCAGAGAGGCACGACCCCATGCCGAGCAGAAGGGAGATGAGGCTACAGTTTCTATGTTAATTTCTCCCTCGCGCTCACTTCGGGGATCTATTCGACAGGCGCAGTGACATTTCCCTCAGTTATCGCTATACGAGCTGTCTCAGCTCTTTATTGTTCCCGTGCCCTCATAGCATCTTTCCCGCTCTCCCCGTCAAATCGGGAGGGATCGCTCCCTCAGTAGCATGTCCTCTACGGCCGTTATCGCCACTCTACTTGCTTCCCCATCCCGAAGAGAGATGCACGAAGTCCTGTCTTTACGCAGAGAGGAGAGCCATTGTCCTCTACCTCTGTAGTCCAACCAGAGTATTGCACACTTTCATGAGTGCAGACGCCAAGATGAGCAGATGCTACAGAGAGTCAGAGTAATATGAGACGACGAAACGTTCAGAGAACAGACGAGTACTTCACGTAGACCGATACGAGCAGAGAAAGAAAGAGGCCGCAAGAGAGAGAGCAACAGTAAATCCGGCTCGTGTTCTCCTGATCGTCAACCTCTCGGGCCCGCCTTATGAAGAGACGTAGCCGATACTAGAAACCAGAAGAAGGCCGTGTTCGCCGAAAAGGCGCCTGTTACCGTCCGCGCGAGCGCAGGCGCGTGCAAGGGTCACACGTACCGCGTGTGGCGACGTGGCTGCGGCGCAAGTGGCAGGCGGTCTACGATAACTACAAGCCTCACATTCTGCGCACTTTCGACAACGTGGAGACTCAGGCTTGGATCTTCGCGGAGAATCTTATGGGTAAGTTTTGTTGTTGTACAGAACCCAACATTACCAAAATACCTCTGCCCTCAGAACCCGACTGAGTCTCACCCCCCCCCCCTTTCCCCTCCCCCTTTTCGCAGACTGGCTCCAGAAGGTCGGCCTTGAGATCAAGTCCTCCGCCTACTACCAGAAGATCGCCGAGATCGTGACCTACGTGGAGGGCATCTACAAGGACTTCACCGAAAAGTCCAAGCGAGAGAACCTGGAGAAGTACTACACCATGTTCGTCGAGAAGATGAAGAGCGGGTTCAAGATGCTTGTCGACGGAGGTGAGGTTCTTTGAAGGTTCTTTTTTTGGGAGGGAGATTCTTGGGGTTCTTTTTGGAGGGTTTGGAGGTTCTTTTTTTGTGAGGTTCTAGAGGTTTCTTTTGGGAGGGAGGTTCTTGAGGGTTCTTTTGGGAGGGAGGTTCTCGAGGGTTCTTTTGGAGGTTGTTTGAATGGTTTTAGGAGGTTCATGGGGTTCTTTTTTTGTGAGGGGGGAGGAATATTGTTCTTGGAGGCTTCATGGGCTTCTTGAGGAATTCTGAGGGTGCGTAAGGAATGTGTGGGTTCCCACAGGGTTCTCCAAGGTTACTGGATGTTCATGTAGGTGCTTGAAAGATTTTGAGGGATGAGAAGGGTGCTCAGGTTAGGTTCTTATGGACTTTGAGTTTATTTCTTTCAAAATTCTTGGAGTTCTTGAAGGGCCTTGGATGTTCTTAGGGTTCTTGACGATACAAGAGGGTTCTTAAAGAGGAAGGGAGATGGTGAGGTGGGGGTGAAGAGAGCGAAAGAGGCGGAAGAAGGCGTATTAGGTTAAAGGAAGTGAAAAGGGAGGTGGAACACACTTATTAGGGCTTGGGGGTGACGGTGTAGATGGAGGAGGCCTAGGTAATGAGGGAAGAGAAGGTGGAGGAGGAGGTCTGAGTGACGAAGGAAGAGAAGTTGGAGGAGAAGGTCTGAGTGACGAAGGAGGAGAAGGTGGAAAAGAAGGAGATAGTGAAGGAGGTGGTCTAAATTACGAAGGAAAAGGAAAAGATTGTAGAGGAGGTGGTCTAAGTGACGAAGGAGAAGGAAGTCTGTGTATCGAAGGAGATGATGGAGGAGGAGGTCTGAGTGACGAAGGAGGAGAAGGTGGAGTGGAGAGAGGAAAGTGGAAAATGCCTGAAATCCAAAAGGAGGTGAACGGAAAAGGCTTCTTATGTCTGGAGAGGAAAAAAATTGTAGGAGGCCCGGAAATTCAAGCAAGTGGGTGTAAAGAATTCCTAAAATGAGAGAAGTGAAAGGGAAGAAAAGTCTTAAGGAATAAAGGAAGGAGTAGTGGCCGGGGTAAAAATGAAACGAAAGAGTGAGGAAGTAGAGCAAACCTGAAAAATAAATCGAGAGGGAATGAATAGATGGAAGGAAAACTAACAGACGAAGGAGAGGAAAGTGGAAGAGGAAGCTGTTGATGTCGCTTTGCAGAGAGACTCGTTGCAAGATGAATGGTCCCTTTGAAAGACCTCTCGGAAGATAATAATATTTGCATTCAAAACAGTTGATCTGCAATATCCAGTAGAGCGTCTTAAGGATGGCATGTTGTTGCAACGAATAACCACTATGGGTACATTAGTTACAATTATGTCTTTGGTGGTGGTAGTATTAGCAATAGTACTGGTATTAACGTTATCATCAATAAGATGACGATAGTGATAGTAATGTTGTTATTTTTCCCTACGATATTTTTAATACCGTTATCGTTATTGTTGTTGTTTTTGTATTTGTTGTTGTTATCGCTTTTATCATTATTGTTTTCATAGTAATATTGTTATTATAATTTCTGCAATTATTACCACTACTACAGAGCTTTTAGTTGCCGTAGTTGTCATTATCATATCTATCATCAGAGGCGATCCTGTCTAACAAATAAAAAGACTAATCACGCCTTCAGAACTTCAGCACATTTTCATCCAAACTGATTCAAGCTTTTCATCCCATGCATAAAATCCAAGTTAGATTTTACCCTCCCTTACCCCCTTACCCTCTCTCCCCCTCACCCCAACCTCTCAATCCCCACCCCTCACCTCTCATCTCTCACATATTACCCCTTGCCCCCCAGCCCCCACCCTTACCCCCTACCTTCTACCTCATTTTCCATCTCTCACTCTCTCTCACTCTCTCTCTGTCTTTCTGCCAGTTGCTCCGTTCGTGCAAGACTGGATCGACGAATTGCAGACGGCTTGGGCTAAACTCTTGCAGTATAACCAGATTGCAAGAATTAAGGATGCTGTTCTTGCTGCCATTGATAAGGTGAGAGATTTTTTTTTGTGGAGGGTGCAATACCGGAACTTGATTTTTATATAAAGATGATAGTGATTGAAAAAGTGATGATAGTGAATGAAAAAATGATGATAGCGAGTGAAAAAATGAAGTTAGTTAATCATAACAAGATGATAATGAATGATAAAAGGATAGGGGTGAGGGATTACGTGATGATAGTGAATGATAGTGATAATAGCGAAGGATAAAGGACTGATAGTGAAAAAGAAATAAGTCGATGATGAGACTATGTGCGTTGTGACTTATAAAATAGAATAATAATCAGGAAATAAAGTTTTTATTATTTTTAACAATGTTCATTATTGGGATTTCTTGTCAAAAGAATATATATTAAAAGGCGATAACATGCGAGGAAGAAAATAAAGATACCGGTCAACATGCGATATCACAATTAATCATAAGAGAAATAGACTAAATAATCAAGAAATGTGAAAAAAGGGTCCATCAAGTCCTATTTTAGACGACAATGTATAGCAAAAATGAAAGGGAGAGAGATAGACAGACAGACAGACAGACAGACAGACAGACAGACAAACAGACAGACAGACAGACAGACAGACAGACATAGAGATACAGACAGACAGATGGATATAGGGGTAGAAATAGAGAAATAGAAAGAGGGGAAGAGAGAAAAACTAATACAAATAAATAAAGAAAAAGAAATGTAACTATATTTATGAGCGTCTCTTTTCCCAGGTGGTGTGGACTGTCCGCTACGTTGACATCCGCGGGCACCTGATTGATGCTGCAGCCTTCATCTTGGAGCACGGAGACACCATCGTCTCACAGACCAGCATCCAGGCATCGCAGAAGTATGTGCTGTTTTTTCAGCTCTTGTTAGTTTGGGTTTGAATTGTTAGAAATTGTTATTCGAGGAGTTTTCTTTTGACTTTGTTTTTCCTTATTTATCGTAGAATTATTGTTTGAAGATTTTTTTTTTATCTTAAGGGCTCCTGGGTTTTATGTTTACGAATGCTAGTTCTTAAAATGATCTCTATTACCGGTTTACCATTCTGATTATTGATTGATTGATTAATTCTTCAAAATGAGATCCAGTGAGTCGTGTTTTCCTATGCTCAGATCCTTGAATGAATTCCAGTGGTAAATATTTCCCGTTCCCTGTTCATTAAGAAAAATAGAACTCGGGTGATTAGCTGTACAACAAACAGTCAAGTAAAAGAGTGATTATAGTGAGTGGAAAAGTAAATAAGTAATAATAACACAAGAAAATAAATGTGCTAGACATCATAGGTCCTATAGCACTATGGTACTGTATTGTGGTGGGAGGAGTTTTTAAAGTTCTTCGTTAGAACTAAAATGTCTTTTATTTCATCGGCCGTATGCTATATGATAGTATAGTAGTGAAGGAAGTAGAAAGAGGGTGTAAATGGGGTAGGATAAGTATTGATGACAGTCAATTATATAAGAACAACCTTCACAGAAGAATGGCAGCCGGAATATCTAAAATTCTTTACCGCCTTAATATTTCAGGCGGGCCATTATCATCTGGCAGAGAGGCACATTAACTCCAAGGGATATTCTTGGCTGATAGACAGACGCATTACCTTCCAGGTTCATTATCGTCTAGTAGTCAGGCACACTAACTTCCAGGTTCATTATCATCTGACAGACGGACAAATTAACTTCTAGGGTCATTATCATCTGACAAACAGATCAATTAACTTCCGGAGTCATTCTCAACTAGCAGACACTAATACTAACTTCCAGTCTCATCATCATCAGGCAGACAGACACATTAACCTCCCTTTCCCCTTCCCTCTTCCAGGCACATCGTGGCCAAGACGAAGTTCCTGTTCACTCCGTCCCAAGGGAAAGTGTTATTGGTTCAGAAATTACCCGTTGACTGGCAAGCCTTCAACGTCAAGCCAAACTGGAGGGTAAGAGAGAGTTGAGACTCGATGTTGCGAGTGGATTGTAACCCGGGTTTATTGTATATCCACGTGTTGTGTATATTTGTTACGTGATTCATATTGCTTGATTTGTAACTCATTCGCGCGTTAACGTATTGGAGAATGAAGTATGAGGGGTTTTATATATTTGTCTTGTCTTTAATTTTTTCATTATTTTAGAGGACTGATCACTTTGGTAAGATATCAGAACTCGTATATTTAAAGAGTAAGTGTGTATCAACCTTTCAGATTCTTCACATGTTTGAGTTTGCCTTTTTTATTATCATCAACCTATTCATTCGAATATTCATCCAATTACTTATCCAAAACCCTGGACAGGCAAACAGCAGTTAGAATTGCACTGAAAAAAATAACAAAAATAAATCTTTAACCCCTCATTATAGTCCAACTTCAACAAGCAAATTAATATCAATATTTTATAACAAGAAAAAAAGCTAAACAAAAGAAAAACAAAAAAAAAAACAGAGCCGACCACAAACAACAGTTCAACCCAAACAAGAAAAACGAACGTCTTGTCTTACTCCCCAGGACTTACCAGAGTACAAGAACATTCAGTGGGTGAGGGACACATTCTTCTCCACCTCCAACACGACCATCTTGGATAAATTCTACAAGTACTGGAACCTCAATTTCAACCCTGTGACTTGGGTTCCGCCATTCCCTGGTGAGCTTCGAGGTTATTTCATTTATCTGTCTGTGAAGTTCTGTATTTTTTGTTTGTCTTTTCCCATTTATTTCTTGCTTGTATAAGCTTTTTTTTATTTGTTGTTTAATGTACATGGATATTTACATATCATCCACCTCTTACCACTCCGTCTCAACCACTCACCATCCTCCTCACTGTCCCTTCCCACTACCGCTCTCTCACTCCATCTCCCTCACCATACCACTCCCATACCACCTTCCCTCACTCCCATACCACCTTCCTTTCTCCTTTCTCCTTCCCCCACCCAACCCATCCACCTTCTCTCCCTTCCACCTTCCCACGCATCCACCTCCTCCTTTACACCACCCACCCAAACTGACCCCCTCTCACCCTCTTTCCCTCCGTCATGCAGCGACCGGCTACATGATCGGCGAGCAACACTTCATGACCTTCGACGGGCATCACCTGGAGTTCAAGGGCCGCTGTCAGCACCTCCTTGTGGCTGACATGGTGAGCGGACAGTACGCGGTGACCGTCAACTACCACAGCCACTCCTCCAGGACGATCATCATTTACATCGGAGGGTCGGAGATCGAGTTGGCGACTGACTTTAGGGTAATTATTATCATTAGTAGTAGAGCATTGATGTCGTTATCATTAGCATTATTATTGATAGTGTTAGTATCGTTATCATCCTCATCATTAGCTATATTAGTATCGTTATTATTTTCATTGTTATTAATATCAGTATCGTTCTTTTTGTTGTTGCCATTAGTTTCATTATTATTATGGTTGTTACTGATGTTTCGATTGTATTTTTCGGTTGTTTTTTTTTATTACCATTGTTAAAGATATTTAAATCATATAATGATATATCATTATTGCTGCTATCATCATTATGGCCATTACTTCTATCATTTTATTATCTTTGTTATTATCTCCACTAGCATTATTAACGATACTTAAGAAACACATTACTAACTGATCACTGACATTAACCGAAGACAAGCTAACACAACCTTCCTCCTTTTTTACTGCCATTTTTAGGCTTCGGAATAGATTGCCTTCAGAGATTGCAATGTCTCCGACTCCTAATAGGTTTAAAAGACCGGCTGGTGTGTTTCTGCTAAGTAAATACTCGTAGCTCATGGTTTTCTATCTTCTCATTCTTCCTTAGCAGTGTCTCGGCCTACACTGACACCTCGAATTTCCCAGTGTGGCTCTCTGTATGGCTTACCACAGTAACGAATAACGAATACCGCACACACAGGTGACGGTGGACAAACAACCCACGGAGCTGCCGGTGAGAGTGGATGGCGCCACGGTGGACCGCTGGCTGCACAAGATCGAGGTGAGGACGGATCACGGGCTGCGCATCAACTGGAACCTGGCGCATGACGTCCTCTCCATTAGCCTGTCAGGTGAGGGGGAACCTCCTGCTGGGGATGTTCTGTTGACTGCTTTTTTTTTTACTTCGTCATATTTGCTTCTTTGTTCTTGTGTTTGTTTATCAGAATTGTCATTGTTTTGTTTTCAGGGGGTATTTTTTTTATTTTATTTTGTTACATGCATACATACATGTATATATGTTATTATTGTTATTTTTTATTATTATTGTTATTATTTATTATCATTGTTGGTTATTTTCTGCGTTTGCGGAATGAATTATAGATTGGCGGATTAGGCTTGTCTGCCAGAAGCTTTTCCTTCCATGATTTGTTGAAGTAAGGAGGAGATGAAATAAAGTGTCTTTGTATTGGTGGATACATATATGCGTACACACACACGTATACAAACATACAGAAGCCTATATACCTATAGACATGCAGACAGACGGACAGACAGACATTCAGACATATAGACGGACGAACAGAGAGGCAGACAGACAGACAGACAGACACACAGACAAAAATAGATACACACGCACACACACTCTTCTAATGCGAACACTTTTATACACATACAAACCCAGACACAACCCTCCCTTCCCCTCGCGCTACCCCCCCTTCCCCCAATCCGCCCCTCACGCCGCCCTCCGCACTCTCCTCGCAGGCACCTCCTTCGACAAGACGGGCGGCCTGCTGGGGGTCTACAACAACGAGCCCATGGACGACCAACAGCTGCCCGACGGAACCCAGACGGACGTCGTGCATGTCCTGGCGCAGGGTTGGGACGTCAGCAGGGGCGCCTGTCAGTCCGGAGGGAACCTGGCCGTGGGAGCCTCCAAGGTCAGCGTGGACACCTGCCAGCACCTGTTCCAGTCCAAGACCTCGCCCTTCAAACACTGCTTCTTCCAGGTGCGCTTTCCGTGTTGGGTCGTGGTTATTTTTTTATTTTATTTTTTTATTTTTTTTTTAGATTTTAGATTTTAGATTTTTTCGGATTCATTTCAATTTTTTCTGATTTTTTTCTGATTCATTTTTTTCTTTTCTTTATTTTTTTTATTTCTTTTTTATAATCATTTTTTTGGATTTGTTTTGTGTACCCTTTTATTTATTTGTTTATTCGTTTACATGTTATAGTGATTATTCGACTAAAGATTGCTTTAATCAAAAGTTCATGTTTGTTACAATTGTGACCAACCATGTAGTTCACTTATCCATATGATGAAGATTTTACTCCCTATCAGTCTTTTTAATATTTTTTTCTATTAGTACATAAATACACCACATGGATAATCTTATTTCTTTTACATAAGCATATCCTGTCTTTCAAGGGTTAAACGATTCATGCATTACCTTTTCATCAAGTTTGGTGCAAAACATATATATAATGCAATATGGATAATTGCGATTCATGAGGGAAGTCTATCATTCATAAAGGCGTTTAATTATCCACATCCTTGTGTATGTAGGTGGACCCGACGCCGTATCTCCACATGTGCATGGTGGATTACCGGAGCGAGGACCGGGATACTTGCACGGCTGCCACGGCGTACATGGAGGCGTGCTCCAGGAACAACATCCCGGTCAAGATCCCGGTGTTCTGTGTAGAGTGAGTATTTCGTCGGTTTTCTAACACGCGAGACACGGACACTGGCCTCTCTCTGTCTCTCTGTTTTGTCTGTCCCTCCCTCTCTCTCTCTCCTCTCTCTCTCTCTCTCTCTCTCTCTCTCTCTCTCTCTCTCTCTCTCTCTCTCTCTCTCTCTCTCTCTCTCTCTCTCTCTCTCTCTCTCTCTCTCTCTCTCTCTCTCTCTCTCTCTCTCTCTCTCTCTCTCTCTTCTCTCTCTCCTCTCTCTCTCTCTCTCTCTTTACACACACACTCTAACACAAACACACAAACAAAAAACGGACATTTATGCAAACACAAACAAACAAATAAAACCAAACCTTCGAACTAACGAGCTCCTTGCCTTCCCCAGGTGTGTGTACGAAACCGACGACGGCGAAACCCACACCCTGGAGGAGGGCACGTCGACGATGCTGGAGGTCGACGACATCCTCAAGTCAACGGACGTGGTACTCCTGGTGGAGGACGGCGCATGCAACAAGGGCTTCGCCTCCAAGAAACCCCTGAACCGCTTCGAGAGCTTCATCAACGCCATGGACGAGGAGCTGGCGAAGAACGGCCTCCGGAATGTGAGGTGAGTAAGAGACGGCCTGTCCTTCGAGATGAAACAGGGAGAATTCGGCTGTTTCTTCGGCTCTTTTTACGCCGGCTTCAAATTCTCGGCAATGTTTCGGAAATTCGGAGAAAATCTGATAAATCACGGGTTGCCACGCCAAGTAATCAAGATCGGGTCTTCTATTCAACTTCAACAGATACGCCATGGTTCTGTACGGAGGGGAAAGTCTCTACGCGCAGCCGGCCATCGCTACCGTCGACAACCAGATCTTCACGGACGCCAGCAACATCCACAGGGCTCTCGATCGGGTGGAATTCAGTGAGTATTCTGGTGGAGGGGACAAGGTGGAAAGGACGAAGTGAAGAGGATGAGGTGGGGGGGGGACGGAAAGGAGGAGATGAGGTGTAGGGACGAGATTGAGAAGACGAGGTGGAGGAGACGAACTGGAGAGGGCGAGATGGAGAAGACGAGGTGGAAGACACGAGGTGTAGGGGGCGAGGTAAATATAGAGAGGGAGGGATGTGCGGAGGGGGGAAGAGATAGGTGGATAGAGAAAGGGGAATATGCATGCGGGGAATTAGGAAGGAAGACGAAGAGGAGGAAAAGGAGGAATGTTAAAGTGGAGGCGGAAGAGTAGGTGGGATGGAGGAAAGGAAAAGGAAATGGGATAATAAAGGAAGGAGTGGGAAGGAGGTGAATATGAAGGTAGGGGAGGAGGCGAAGGGAGAGGGGAAAGGAGAGGGAGGTCAGGGTGGAAGACAAACAGAAAGTGAAGGTAGAAAGGAGGAGGAAGAGGACGTGGAGATAAATAGCGATGAATAGGAAGGTAGAGGCAAAGACGGAAATAGAAGTAGAACTGAAAATACCCACACAATCCTCACCACACACCCACACAACGCCTTCACCCACCATCCCACCTACATCTTTCCCCCCAGAATTCCCACCTCCCCACCCCTTACCCCCTTCCATCCCCAATTCCAATACCCCCCCCCCCCCACACCAAAAAAAAGTCATAATAACCCCCTCTTGACCTCTTCTCTGTCCCCTTCCCCAAAAAAGCCAAAACTCTGCCACTTTGACCTCCTCTCCCCCCCTTTCTCCCCCCAAAAAAGCCAAAACTCCTCTCCCTGACCCCCTTTCTCTCCCCCTTCCTCGACAGCTGCAGAAACCGACAGCGAGGACTACTGGGGGGCGGATGCCTTCGAAGCCTTCAACTTCGCCGCTGACCTAACCTTCCGTGCCGGCGTGAGCGTGACCTTCGTGCTGTTCCCGTGCAGGTCGTGCAAACCCAGCATTCCCTCTGTGAGTGCCCACTTCTTTCTTGTTGTTGTTATTTTCGCTGTTGTTATTCTTATGTTATGTTGATGGTTATCATTATCCTTAATATCGTCAGTATAATAATCGTAGTTATTGTTAATATTGTTGTTGTTATTATCATTAGTGTTATTATCGTTCTTGTTATCATCATCATCATGAAGATGATAACGTCCATGGGGCTAGTTCATTGTACTATATCAGTATTAATCTTAGTAGTAGTATGACGAGAGAGAGAGAGAGAGAGAGAGAGAGAGAGAGAGAGAGAGAGAGAGAGAGAGAGAGAGAGAGAGAGAGAGAGAGAGAGAGAGAGAGAGAGAGAGAGAGAGACTAAGATCAAGAGCGAGATACAGAGGAAAATTAAGAACAAACACAACCAGAAAGTAAGAAAGACAGATAATAAAAAAAATAATCCCCCAACCAATACATATAACCCTTTCTTCCTTCGTTCCTTCCTTCCAGATGGACTACAGCAC